ATTTTATATTTTTGTGTGATTGTATATTTTAAGCACCATTGCACCAAGACAAATTCCTTGTATGTGTAAAAACCTACCTGGCAATAAATCTGATTCTGATGGCAGTTGGGATCTGATTAACATGATTTCACAGCGTAGTATGCAAATGATATGCTGCCGCATAACAGGACCCAGTCCAGCACAGCCCGACCCAAGCTCAGGAAGGGGGAAAGAGAGAGGGGATGAGATGACATCCAGCAAAGGGCCACAGGTTGGACTCAAATTGATGGCCACTGAAGTAAGGACTCAGCCTTGTTAAATTGGGCGCCAGCTCTACCAGGTGAGCTATCCGGGCGTCCCTATTGTCATATTGTTATATGACCTCTTAAATACTTTCATTAAGCAAACACAGTGACCACCACAACATGAGACCCATTAAGGGTGCATTGGAACCAAAACTACAATCAGTTTCAGATGTATTATGAATCATTTTTGTGTGGGCTCTTTCTATCAGGTGTTCTTTCTGTGAACTGGAAACCTCCCCTTTCATGGAACAGCAAATGAGTGACGCAGTCACACTTCTATTCTGGGTCTGCTTCTGGTCAGCCCTCTGTCAGGCGCTCCCCTCTTTCACTCTTCATTTATCTCTCTCTTCTTCCTGTTGCTAAGCATCCACATCTGTTTGGCTCGCTCTGAAGAGTAAATGTCATCCCGATGAGGAATAAATACATTTCATCATAAACACACTCAAGTGTTACAATCAAATTTTGTAGACAGATGATCTCAACCCCATAGTTACATTTTACCAACACATTGATATAATTCATAGCTTGAAAATGTCTGAGCAGAAAACACAGCATTTTCCTGAGTTGTCCTAAAGCAGCACATTAGTCTGCCCAGACCACAACAGCAGCAGATCAAATATAAAAAATTAAATAGAAAGGATGAAACAGCCGAGGCCACACAGTCAGTCAGCACAGTTTCAACCCGATTATTCATTTCTGCCAATTGATTGAACACCTGAGGGCATATGAAAACAAATCTATAATTTCCAAATTTAACAAACTAATTCAGCTTACTAATTTTACACTGCAAAAGATAACGGGAAAGGGGGCTGCTCGCGGAGTGAGGTAGTGACGTGTGACACAGAAGCTTCCCCACTGATCTCAGGACAATGACAGCCTAATTAGCCTACACTAAATACCAATGTGTGAATGGCGGATCAGTGTAATGTGATGCTGATAACACTATAGCTGGTAATACTTCTTTTTTTCAGTAATACATTTGTGAAAGCTAAGTGTCCCCTCGCCTCTTAATAGCACCGTCTATGGATTTGTGTCATCGGCGTCAGGATCCTATCAGAGGAACAAGCTAAGCTAACATTAGCAGCAGCTCGACTAGCAGCCCCTCCAGGACATTGTTTGTCTAACGAATAGCGGCAAAGAAACACTGATTTTTAAAGTGGAACTACTTTATTCAATGAACACTGAAGGAATCCTAACCGGGAGAAGCTGACTGAAGACAACAACTCCCATGACCCCACACTGCCTCTCGACGTCATCAAACTTTGTCATTTGTTATCACAAACACCCTAGCTAAACTAGCTGTTTGCCCCTGTTTCCAATCTTTGTGCTAAGCTACTCTAAGCTAGCTGGCTATAGTTGGCTGTAGCTTCATATTTGTTGTAGAGACATGAGCGTGGTATCAGTCATCTCATCAAACTCCTCAGGAAAGCAAATGTGCGTATTGCCATATGTGCTTGCTGTGGATGCTGTATCTTTACAGTAACAGCTGGCTCATTGCTGCTGTTTCACCAAAACTGACACCTTGCAGGCCTTCCTCTCCCCGGGCTAGCTGGACGTCACTCCCCTCCCAGGTGTAATGCCACCGCCTCACCACACTTTCCTCAGTGCCCAGCCTTGCTAAACGGTAGTCGTCACTGTTCCCTTGATGCCCCTTTATCACAACCAACAATATGGATATTCCTCCTCTCTCTGCCTTCTTTCCACTTTCATTCTCTGTTCTCTGTTACTAGTTCAAATTAGCCCACTTACACCTTCTGCCTCTGCATTCTACTTCCTGTTTCCTCCTCTGGTCATCCATCTTTTCCTCACCTCTGTATGAGCTACCAGTGCTACGGCTAACTCCCCACTACCTGTAGGGTCAGTTATAATGAATGAAAGCGAAATAACCATTGTATTTTAGAAATAGCTTCTCCTCCTGCCAGTTGTTCTCTGCCAGCTTTCTCTCCCTTCATCTGTCACACCCTCCCTTTTCATTTTGTCATCCCCCTCTCCACCTGTGACGCCCCTCCATTTGTCCAGTGAGGTCATCCCTCTGTTCTCCCCTAATCCTGCGAGGTGCTCATCTTTCTGCCTCTGCTTAATCCGCCTGTGGCCCCCAGCCCTGACCACACACACGCGCAAATCTGCACATTTGTGCACACAGACTCACAGTTATTCTTGTATTGTATACTCAGACACTCAGTAATTCTCACAGCATGCATACACACATACTCATTCAGACAGCACACACACACACACAGCGCCCCTCCACCTCTCCGTATAAATCTCCCTCTGTCGGTACATTAGCCATTATGTCTGTCTCTATCCCTCTGTCTCTCTCTTGTGTCTGGTGATACCACACCTTCATACAGGTAAGTCTGTCTGTCGGTCTGTCCGTCCATCCCCAGAATGTCCTCTCTAGGTATTGTTTTCATAGGATTGCAGTAGAATAAAATATAACCAAAAACTGCAATATTTAATGTCATTTGTTGTTTTCAATTCATTTCACCATCATCCATCACAGTGGACACTTACATGTATTTAGTTTTGTCAGTTCTTTGAAAACTCTTCCTTGCTTGTGTGTTTAAGGATGCTCCAGTATGAGACCAACCAGCTAATCAGCAAACCTTTTCATGTAAAAAACTTCAACCAAAGGTTACTGTACTTTCAGGATTTCCAGATTACGTGTCTGCTACACTCCTTCTCTGCAGCAGACTCAAATCTTGGGTTTTCTGAGCATCCCTGAATGCACCACCAAGGCAGAATGTCTCTAAAAAAGACCTCTATTGCCATAAAACAGTAATGCAATAAAAACAGTAAATTCATTCTCTATCTCAAGTAGTAGTAAAGTCACAGCAGGTTAGATCCCTGCTGTTGTGATATTAATATAAATCAATGGCTACCTTGAACATAATCAATCCAAAAAGGGGAACCACTGTAATGGTCCTTGAGTGTAATTTTTCTCATCTCATCCTGAGTCGTCAAAACAATAACCTCTTATTTAACCAACATAACGGAGCTGAATGGAATTTCTCTCCTGGAACGATGACCGTCGTACCT